GGGGGGTGGGGGGTGGGTGTGAGGGTGTCACACTTGACAGATTTTTCCATGTGCCACCTGATTTCACTGATGCACTTGATGAGCAGCTGACAAATTTAGAACAATGAGACCAATAGAAAATTGTGGCTATACTGCATTTATCTGAAGCAGCTGTGTGTCAAATCTTGCTTAAATAGTTAAAGGAAATTTATGTTAACCAACTTTAAAAAAAAAAAAAATAGAATCTTATGAATGGTCCCAAACACATATGGAGTTACTTTAGGTAAATATTTTTGGAAATGATGTGCCAGAGTGTTTACATTAAACAGCAAAGATTCTTGCTTCTTAATTACACAGGTTTCTGCTAAATGGTTTTAAAGTGTGGAAAATGAGCATGTCAGCTACACCTTTAAAATTTAGTCTAACAAAAAACGGCTAAGAACTTCCTTCTGTACATCATTTTTTAATACAACACAACACTCCTTCTGAATTGGTAATTCACTTCATGTAATTACAGTTACACAGAAAAATTAGACAAATTTAAATGGAAATGCTCTCTTTAAAATCCCTTTATATAAAAAAAAAGAGTCAGTGTACATAGTAGTCATTTTTCAAAGTCCATAACTTCATTAGTTTAAAAGTAAAAATCCAAAACACAGCTGTTCCCATACACCCAAGTTGCTTAGATTGGGCCATTTTATTTTAAACATTGTAAAGCCAGTTCTGAAGGACACCATCCTCGTAGGATCTAAATACAAAAGCATTAGATTAAGAAAAGTGACTTTTTGAAGTCTGGGTGTAAGAAAACTGATACTGACAATGACATATTAATATGTCAATGATGAATAAATACAAGAACTTAAAATTTGAACCACCAGCAATCTCATACATCATTCTCTCTTTTTTTTTTGGAAGGATATAAAAGATTCAAATGTCAGAACTATAATGTCAGAACTGTTTATAATGTCAAGTGATGCATGTTGCATACTCTTAGTATATTCCGTTGATCAAACCAGAACCTGGGATAATAATTGCAGATGATAGAACACATTTCATGTGCAAATGGACATATATTTGAAGTGAATTTGGAAGAAAAAAATTTTCATATTGAAGTCTTAATAATTGTTTCATTCAACCTGCACCAACCCGTGCAGAAATTATTTTGCATAAAGCTGATGCTTCTAACAGTAACCAATGTTAGTGCGATGCCTGCAGGGCAGTGTCAGCCAAGGAGAACTTATCTTATGGTATAATGTAGTAATTTGATAAAACTTGTTGCAAACTTGCGCGAGAATCAATCCCAGTAGAACCAGAGAACTATAATTTTCCCTTTCCAGTCAGTTAATGCAGTTCCATTTCAGCTCATGGAATTAATCCTGTTTATAAAGTAACCTTGAGTTGTTTTTAGCCTGATTTCCTAAGAAAATGAGGCATATGTGATCATGCCATCTGCGAATGCCTTCCCTGCACTCGCAACAGCTACCACCTTCAGAGACAATTGCAACCCAGTTTGAAAGATGCTAGAAGCCTCAAAGAGACTAAATTGCTAAAAGCTTTCATGCAGGTATCTGGGCAGGGCAAAGATACCCAAATTAGTACTCCCTGTCAGGAAAAGGCAGGAAGAATTCAGCTGTTAAACAGTCTGTTTGGCAGAAGCCAGCGGTCCCATCTGCAGGGACGAGTAACGATACCTCTTACCTTTTGTCTCATGCAGCAGTGGCAAAGAGCCCAGTGAAAACAAGTTGTTTTGAAAAGGAGGATATACAAGTCAAAGGACGCAAATCTCTGGGAAACCAGAGTGCTTACAAAATTATTTGGTTTTAGCTATGCTTTGAACTTCTAATTTTACTCTACAAAGATAACAAAATTTCATTCCAGTGCTTCTATGAAAGGTTAATTTGAAAGAACAGTAGCTGAACCCTGCCAAAACCATCAAAACATCACATTATTTTATTTTACAGATGTAATAAAATCAAGACTGGTAGACAGCTTGTTAAGGAGGATGCACATCTCTGGAATATTAAGCTGACTGAGGTGTTTCCCAGAGAACTTACTCCAATTTTGAGTACTGATTAAAGCAGATATTAGGTTAATGCAAACCAAGCTTCATTCTTAATTGATCCAGATAGAATCCAGTCCTACCTAGAAGTTTATGTCCACACTTTAGACAGTAGGTTCAAGAGCCTGTACTTAAAAGAAGAAATTTATTAACTCCGTGTCTTCTAGAAAGGTTGCAGTTTGTGATATTTTCATTATTTTACTGATTAGTCTGAACAGTGTTCATAGGGCCAAATAAGTTATTTGCGCTGCATCACATAGCTTTTCTATTATGTATGGGCAAAGGTTTGTTTTCTGTGGTTGCCACAGTCATTAGCGAGGGAAAGAATAAAGAAAAGAAAAGGAGAGATATGGAGTCAAGAGTGAAAATTGTTACTCTTGGAACAGGCTGCTCAGTATTGCCTGGGCAGGCTTTGACATCAGGCTCTCCGAACGTATCAAATATTATCTTCCTTGAAATGAAGACACAGATGCCACATCCGTCACTGGATCCTTCAGATGCTGTGTCTCCTGCCGTTCTGTATGACTTTGAGTACGTTGGAAAGGTCAAAACTTTTCGTAATCAATTCCATTAAGTCCTCGTCGCTTTCCACGCCACTGATAAACTCTTCTAAAGTCAGTTCCCCTAAAAGGAAGTCAGATACTCCTTAAGAACCGAGAAACCCAGGAATCACTCTTAGTCCAACACAAGGCCATTCATGCCAGATTGAATCTCCCAGGAAGGTTCCCCCGTTCTCTGCTGATAGGCAAACGCAGGAAGAGTATTTGCTGCTGTTTTCCCACTTTGCATCAGACCCTAGAACTCAGACTCACTTCTTTTTCTGTTACAACAGGTCAAACACAGCTTTCATGGAAGTCTAAGACAACTGTAAGTGCTCAGTATCGGTGGTGACATAAATGTGTGAGAAAGGGCAGTAATGAAGCCTGTACCAAAGCTGAATTTAGATGTATGGACCACTTCTCACTGAGCTAATTGGAATTTATCTTACAGCTGGTTTTAACAGAGATTAGGGAGTGATTTGCTGAGGATTACCAGGCATACTCCCTGTGTTGACTACTAGGATTGTTTAGAGCCATGATAAGATGTAGTAAAGAAAAATCGGTTAAGTAGCTTGATTAGATAAATTCTTCCAAGCAACTGAAATAGTAATTTTGGGTGTGATTTTTTGGGTTCATGTCAAAATCGGGTAATACCTTGGACGTTGCAAGACAACTATAAAATCTATTTATTGAGGACCAGGAATATCATTTAGAATTCTTCCTCTTTCCC